ATTAAACAATCAAGAGCATCATTTGTTGAACTGAGATTTCAACTGGTTTGCTTTGAACATCTCCATGGGTATTCAAATATGACGCTTGAGGTTGCCGCGTGTTGAAAATACTTTGGCACATATATTGCACGGAAAGGACATGTTCACACCACGAACGTCTAGCTGGAAGTGATAATAAGTTGGCGTATTCGTTCTATATAGTCATCAATGCATCTACCCATTATCTCCCTTATCTTTATCTTCCTTTTCTTTATCCTTATCTTTATCTTCCTTATATTCTTTATCTTTATCTTCTTATCCTTATCCTTATCTTTGTCCTTATCTCCCTTATCTTTATCTTCTTTATCTTTATCTTAATCTTAATCTTTATCTTTATCTTTATCTTCCTTATCTTTATCATTATCTTTATCTTCCTTATCTTTATCTTCCTTATCTTCCTTATCTTTATCTTTATCCTTATCCTCTTTATCCTTATCTTCCTTATATTTATCCTCTTATCTTCCTTATCTGACATGCACAAGGAGCCAAGTTCGATAAGCTCAGAGTCGAGCTCGCAATAGCTCGGAGCCTTGTATAAATTGCTTTCTCTCTTCCGATATAAGCTTCCTTATTGTTGTGTTTTACTCATTTGCTTCCAAACCGTCGAACGGAAATGATCAATCTTCTAAGGCACAAGCCATTTCTTGAATTGTTGGGCACGTCTGAGCCTGATCAACAACAAGCACTACTGGAAACAGCAACCGCCGAGCAAGTACACTGCCTGTGTCTCTGTGTAGAAAACGTTATGAAAAGAGAATATTTAATGCCGAAACATGTAATGAAGAAACTCCGACCTTACAAACATGAAATGCTTAGGTTGGTAGATAGAAGAAAAAGTGGAAGATGAAAAAAACGAATACTCATGCAACATGGTAAAGGTTTCCTTGGACTACCACTAAGTCCTATTTTGGAAAGCCTGGCTAAACTTGTATAAAAGCCCTGTGACTTCAATTTATACATCATTTCAACAATGAACATCGAGAGTAAAACATCTCCGCGACATTGGCGCATTGAAGATATACTTTTGTATCTGAACAATAATGTCAAAAAAACTACAGCAGAAAAAATGCTACATTCTATTCTTATATCAAGTGATACTTTAACTTGGAATCCTCAGGGTGAGATTGTTTATCATGGACGAGACATTCCTGGTACTAACATCGAGAACTTTTTACAATACGCACTTTTACCATAGAACTCTCACATTCCTGAACCACGAGGGCTCGGTCTGTTTACAAAAGGTCTAGTAGAAGCAGGGGTTAATAAAGATTTAATTAAAAATGAGTATTTATTGTCAAAAATGGCAAAAGAGGAACGTGAAATGCCACAATCTGAGAGTGATGTTGAAAGCGAATCTGGTAAAGAGAACAGGGAATCTGACAAGAGTGATAATGAAAGCGAATATGATGATAATGAGGATGATGATAATGAGGATGATGGTGAGCCCGAGAAACTAGCTTGTAATCATTGTGGAGAAGAGACTGGTCACATTGTATACTTAATGAAGTGCCCAAGATGTTCGTGGAAAGATTTCTACTGGGGAAAAGACGCTCAATGTATGATATGTGATGAACAGTCACCTCTACTGTTTTCGCATGTCATTGGTTTCTGCGAGCTATGTTCGTATGGTACGTCTAACAGTAAGGCGGGCGGAGTGGAGTTCACACCAAAAATGGACAAATAAAAGACCCAGCAGATTGGACCGAACGTGACCTAGCGCGAATGAGTCCGGAAGCAAGAGAGGATTATGAACGTTTTATATTGAGCGATAAAATAGTCCCTATCTATTCATCCGAATACACTTAGTTATGCAAATTCGTATTACCTTAATCCCCTTAATTACCTACACGCCTCCTAATGAGTTAGCAACGCACAACAACGCAAATTTGCAAAGTTTAAAACATGTTTATTGATGCAAATAACAGACAATAGTGTCAAAAAATATTACAACTCTTTTAATTCTAACTTCTACTCTTGATAAACTTTCTTATGATCATCTCAACAGTATATATGTATGTAGGAGGATTGCTAAATAATGTTGAACAACATGCAAATATTGACCATAGCAACGACGTTGACAACCCAGGATTAGCAACTGTTTAGTTTAAAATATGTCTTGATGTTTGTGACGAATAGATTCCTCGCTATGGGACATACAAAAAATCCTTCAATATACATGTGGAAATTTATCTCTTCCGAGCAAAGATACGGCTATAACTCTGCTATATATTAATTCGATAAACAATTTTGCCATGCGAGGGACACAAACTATTCATGGTAAGCCAAGATTAATCCGTCTATTGTATCACACACGAGAAGGGACGCTAAAAAATGCGTAGTCAGCAAGTTTTGCCCGATCGTGTTTAAGCTCGCCCGCGTGACGTCATTGCATATAATTATGACGTATGATAATGAGTGACGTCATTACTCCTCCTCACTCCTCCTCCTCACTCCTCACTCCCTCCTCACTGGTTATTTCTGAGCAGTACTGTAACTACCGGGGGAATTTTCCCTCGGCACTTTGCGTCCCATTGGCAAATGTAAACAAAAAGATTTGTAGATTTCATTCATATATTTTCTGAATTGTCCGTGTACGGCGAAATGTGCAGCAAGTTGGACAAACAATCACACTGGGTAAGTAAATACTCTCAACATAATAGACTCTTTTGATAATGGGCTCTGACTGCTCATTGCAAGCTTTTTACGTTCATGTTAAAAGTATAGATGGTTTTATTGTTGCAATTTGTACTATACTGTTCTATTATAGTGTACTGCCTGCTACTTTTGTAAAAAACTGTATGTGCAGTACCTTACTCTAATGTGTCTAATTAACAATTAGACAACGAAGCCGAGTTGTCTATGAGCAAATAGTCAACGAGGCGAAGCCGAGTTGACTATTCGCTCAGAGACAACGAGGCTGAGTTGTCTAATTGTTTTAATATAAACCACATAAAGAAAACTGAATTTTTAATTTGATTTTTATGTAAAATAATAACTTTTTAACGAAATGAGCGTTTAAATGGCTTCCTTCGGCCGAGCATTTGGCGACATTTTGTCTAAAGTTGTTAAAAGCAATTAAAGTTGTAGAAAAGGTGTTGAAAACATTTTTGAAGGCAATGACGTACTACCAAATGACAAATAATCACGTGAGCGACACTTGCTAGGAAGATGGCGACCATGAGACAACTTTTCTACTGACGTTACACATCTGTCCTTACTTAATCTATGGTAATACGCATGAAAGCTATTTAAACTTGTAGTTTTATATTATATTTGTCTTTTTTTGTAAGAATTTAATTACTAATGAAATGGCGTAAATAATGGTATACACAGCACAATAAACAAGAGTAGTTATACGCGTAATGTTTGCAATTTATGCGTGTAGTGCTTGTTGTTGCTTTTTCCAGTAGCTTATAGTTTAAAATAGCTTATTCGCAGATTTTACATTACAATTTTGTTTTTGTTAATTCCTGAATTAAAAATGACACTCATTCATTGACTTTTCCGCGTTTTTTTGCAGTTTCTGAAGTATATGGGATATAATGGCGGTTAAAACGGGAGATAATGCAAAGTCAATGCCAAAAAAAGGTAAATGGAGTTATTTATAAATTAATTCAACAGTCGTATAAATTTAAACTTCATTTTGTTTAAATAATGTCACTAGCTACATCAAATGTGTTTTCACAATAACATAAACATAAAATAAACGAAGAGAAAATTTCACGCCAAAAGTACCTGAACCTGGTAGGATTAAAGAAACAGCATAGCCATATATGCCCATAGCTAGGCATCCATCTCAATAAAATCTAGCTTCAGTTTCATTATTGTAACGTCGTGGTTTTATAAGAATGTTTTATTAAGATATATCTAACAGTAAAACCGGTCTATCTTCGTACAAGTATGCATTCCAAATGATGCTGGCTTAATCATGATACAGCCCTTTATACATAATTACATATTCTATGGTATGCTAATTGTCTTGTAAAATGCTAATACAAATACCGACACATCTCCCTTCTTTTACACAATATTAACTATATCAATAATTAATAAATCCTATAATTAAATCCTAACTACACTTTACTCTATTTTTTTTTGTGCTAACAATTGGATAGCTAAATTTCTTAAAGTCCACCAACAGGTTTTTGTCAAGTTCTAATTACTAAATTTTAATAGTAAACAGTCACTAATTTAATTAAAAGTTCATCATTATCTTTTAGTAGTCATAATCCTTTAAGTAAACAGGTTTTCTTAAAACACGTCCTCTCGAACTATACCGTATAGGGGACTGCATGTTCCTAGACTGGGATACCCGGGTACTGTCGTTTGAATCATCAATCTCTGTTCTCGTTTCTCCGACATCAGGCTGGTCTATCTGATTACTGTCCGTTGTCAATGATCTTGAATTGTCCATCGTTGTTCTCGTTTCTCCGATATCTTTCGCACTAACTGTATTTGACGGAGACTGTTCATTGCTGGCTAAACGCAGATGTCTCCGATTTCTCCTTATCTTGCTTCCCTGCTCCGTAGTTACCCCATATGACTTAATTCCCACTGCTTAGTTGACAGTAGCTCGTTTCCACTCTTTCGATCTCCTCGCCGGTCTCACGAACACCGTATCTCATTCCTTTAACGGCTTTAAACTCTTCGACGCTTTGTTATAGTAAAACATTTGTTTTCTTTTCCTATCGTTCAACTTTCGCTCCGTACTCGAATCGTTCTTTCTCATCGACAGTAATCTACTGGATGTGGGTAGGAGTGTTTTTGTCCGACGGCCAAACAGACGCTGCACCGGTGACGTATCCAAACCTTCAGTTGGAGTATTTCGGAAATCCAAGAATCCTAGGTAGGGATCTGCTCCAACAGCCAACACCTTCTCCATTATTCGTTTTGCAGTTTTTACAGCGTTCTCAGACTTTCCATTCGACTGTGGATAATCAGGCGAACTCGTACCATGTTGAAACTCATAAGCATCGGCGAATTGTCTGAATTCTTCCGAGGTAAACTGAGGTCCATTGTCACTTACCATTCTGTCTGGTATACCGTGCCTGGCTAGGTGAGCCTTCAATCTACAAATAACTTCTTTTGATGTTGTATTATACAATCTATCAACTTCAAAGAAATTTGAATAGTAATCTGTGGTGACAAGATAGTGTCTTCCTTGGAATTCAAACAGATCAGCTCCAATTACTTTCCACGGTCTAGAAGGAACTGGATATGGAATCATGGGTTCTTTCTGTTGCTCTTGAGAGTATGTCTTGCATGTCTGACATTTTGAAATGTACTCAGTAATCTCTTTATTCTTGTTTGGCCAATACCATACTTCCCGAGCTCGTCTGAGACACGCTTGAATCTCCAGGTGACTAACGTGGACCTTCATTGTGAACTCTTTACACAAGGATCGAGGTACGACCACACGTTCTCCCTTGAAAATGATTCCATCTTGCGCTGTTAACTCCTCTCGGAAAGCTACATACTTCAAATCCTGTGCTGGAACTTCTTTCTTTGACTCCGGCCAACCTTGCTTGATCACTTGCTCCAGAATCTTAAGCTCGGGGTCTTCACGTGTACTTGTTTTAATTCTCTGAAGGGTTTCTTCTTTGACAGGCTGATACTGAAGCATGTTGAACTGTTCGGTTGCAATCTCAGTGGGAGATCTAACATCTTCGACTACGACATCGTCAACTGCGAGTACTTGCGGACCCTGCTCCCCATCACGAATTATTTCTGGATGCGAGAGAAAAGCCCTACTCAATGCATCCGCCATGATAAGTTGCGTTCCTTTCACGTACGTGACGTCGAACTCGTATCTTTGA